TACAACGGTAGTCAATTGTCTCATTGGAAATCATATCAGATAACATCTACTTATTTAAATAATGTATAACGAATTCATAGGAACTGATACTTGCAGACATTTTATTGCGTGTTTATTGTACTTGTGCTAAGAATAGCCAAACAGCTCTTGGTACCATGATACATAAGCAAATGGTACATCTACTCATAAATACACACTTACATAGAACTATATAGCGTTACATTAAACAATTATAGAGTTATAACAACAGCAACAAGTGAATATCACTGCTCGACTGTTCGAGTTGAAAACCCTAAAGACTTAGAAAAAAAACCAATGGTTAATATCTGCTTCATCACCAAGCCCACTAAGACTGATCGGCTCGGAGTCGGAAAATTGTGTCCTGGTAGGGTGACACGTCTTTGTGTGGACTTTTACCTTGTGAACTAGCATGTCAAAAATTGGAACTTTAGATGATGCTTTGTCTGAAGATTTAAATGATTAGATATTAAAATTAGCTCAATTTTACATCAAACAAACAAAACTTTTTGACAGAAATTGAGCACAAAACATATTTTATTTTATTTATTTTTCAAATTTTGATTTCTTAATTTTTTTTTACCACCCCTTCCATCTGTTATATCTTTTTTTCATTTTGATTGTCATTTTCTTTTTCTGAAATATACTTCAGTAGACAGCTCCATCATGCAGTATAATCGTTCCATTCCTTTTTATTTCATACTATCGATTTTGTTGCATGCTTTTTACTTTTAAGATGTGTCTTTATATATTTATTGCTGGTTCATGTGCATATTTATGTTAGAGGAACGAATATATAAAAAAATATTTTGTCAAACCATCTTTTTACATTTGGAAAATGAGAGGTTAAAGACATACAGAATCGTGGTTATTAGATAAGCACATAATTTCTATTTTTTTTATAGTCAAAAATAGTTTATTGCAGATAATATCAGACAAAAAAGAGTAATTTTGAAGACTGAACAGAGAATTTGATTAATCGCTATTTGTTCATAAACAATATGGTTTTATAATGTCATTACATATTTTAAATTCTTTTAATGTTATAAAATAGATATAACACGTATAGAATTGAAAAGACGAGTGAAATGCATGGACTGAAGCGTACATGCGAAAGCTCGAACAAATCATTATTGTCTCTTAAGAGATACTGGGTCACGGTACTTATTGACATAGTAAGAGAAAGAATATCCACAACATAAAAAACAAACGATTATTGATTCTATGTCCGTAACTAAATACAAATGAGTGTACAAATATATCTTTAAAATGGTTAAAAAACCTTCCATTCAAAAGATGTTATTATATGTTTCAGAAAATTTGTTTATTATGGACTTTGGTTTTAACGATTACATAAAAAAAAAGAATTCTTGTTGTTGTATGATAAGACATTACTTTAATACTTATTTCGATCAGATGATTAAACAGGTTTGTATTAAAACATTTACGTCACCGAGTATAAAGGTTCAAAATTCGGCCCATCCCGATTTCTGTCCCTTTTGTCGGATTAAATGATTTAAAAAAACTCAAATTTGCAAATAAGTAGAAATTAGATTCGGATTGGGCTCCTTTTTTGTCCTTTTTACTATTAAATCTTTTATTTGTTTTCTTAGCTTTCAAGAAATAAAACCCAAAGTATTGACTGGGATATATAAATACGGTCAGCCCAGAACATCACTTCTGCAGTGCGACAGTTACATTGTTGCCTAAATGGGTCGCACGTTTGTCTGTGTTGGATGTATAAATACGCAGATACGTCGAAATTGCCCGCCCTTTATCTCGGTCGCCCAACTCTTCATAACCTACCTATTTTATAAAAACACACCAAGACTTTAGTTCCTAAATGTGTTTGAAATATTGGTCAACGCAAACACAGAAAACAATTCAATAGTTTATTTTTTCTCGTCCTGAATATGCATTAAAATGAATGATATTAAGCCATTCTGGAATTGCATCGATCTTGCTCTAAAAATGTGACAAACATATTAGTATGAATATGTTTTCTTATTCTTTTTTTTAATAGATTGGCTTAGCCCTTGTTTTATGTTATTACAAAGTCCACAAAGATCCTTAAAAAAGAGATTTATGTGCATTTCAAATTTTTCTTACCATATCATTAATACAATTATGAAATCAACCATAAATTCAATTATTTTATAAATTGGTGCAAAAAATATTATAAACGTTACACTTGCAATTACTTACAACTAAAGTCTGACAATGCTTAGTCCAAAAATTCAGTTTTCTAAAGAAAAACGATTGCATGACGATTAGACTGGTATACTGTGATAAAAAAAGTCTTATTGGTATAGCAGAAACTAAAGAGACATACTATTTGATATATCAAGTATTTAAATGAGTAGGAGTTTTTTTTATTAAGAGGCGTTGATAATTATTTATTTTTGTGTACTTTTACCCCAGTCGATAAAAATGATCTGAATGGATTGGGGACCGTTGCAGATCGATACTTTTATACTATTGGTGATTTATAATTGTAAAAGAATATATTATACTAAAATATTATGCCGTTGACTTATGATAATAATTTCTGTTCCTGGGCAATTTCAATATTTACAAAGATCAGAAGAGAGGCGAAAGATACCAGAGGGACATTCAAACTCATAAGTCGAAAATAAACTGACAACGCCATGGCAAAAGATTAAGATTGTGTTAATTTGATTGAAAAAATGTTTAACCAAGTTGAACTCTATCACTGATATACACATGCCTACGACATTTGGCAGTAAATGCCGCCCTGCCTGTTAGTGACATTGTCCCAATAGGTTAAAAATAGATCCGCAGCTTCCACTCCGAAGCTTCTCTCCTTTTTATCCGGTCTTGCAATTCATAACGAATTTCTATACTACATTCTTTTTTTATTATACCAAGTCATATCCAAAATTATGGTTTGTAATCTTATCTTTTCTTATTTCCATGTACTTAGTGCCAATAAAACACAGCTTTTGAGTCCTTGGCGCCAAATATTTGTCCCTTGTGCACTAAGAAGTTCTTTGTGGTATTTTTACGGACTTGTATTTATCCCTATTGTAAACGGTTTCAGCGAGGAAAATATTACGTTGATTGAAATCTGAGACGTCACTGTGAATACGTGTATGAAATGTACACTCCATATTTTGGCACAAATTTTGGTATGAGGTTACCATGACAAGTTTTAAAAAGGAAAACGATAATCATTTACGTTAGATATTATATACATGTATTTAGAATTCGATTACATGTATTTAGAATTTGATTACATGTATATAGAATTCGATTACACGTATTTAGAATTCGATTACATGTATTTAGAATTCGATTACATGTATATAGAATTTGATTACACGTATTTAGAATTCGATTACATATACTAAGGAATTTGATTACATGTATTTTGAAATTGATTACATGTATATAGAATTTGATAACACGTATTTAGGATTCGATTACATGTACTTAGAATTTCGATTACATGTATTTAAAATTCGAATACATGTATTCAGAATTCGATTACACGTACTTAAAATTCGATTACATGTATATAGAATTTGATTACATGTATTTAAAATTCGATTACATGTATTTAGAATTTGATTACACGTATTTAAAATTCGATTACTTGTATAAAGAATTTGATTGCATGTATTTAGAATTTTATTACATGTATTTAGAATTTGATTAACAGAAAATATTCATCAAGTAGAGTTTTGTTGAATCTTCATCCAAAGCAAAGAAACAAATCTGCAATAAGAGAGGCACAGTTAGTCCATATTCGAAACGAATGCTTGTCACAATATTTGAGGATAAGTAACTTTCACCGATTTGCCCAAATTCTCATATTTTATTTATAACATACTAAAACATATATCCAAATTACCCAAAAGTCCAAAAGAAACAATTAACAATGCATGGGCTCGTTAAAATGTTTCAGCACTTCGTGCGTATTTCAGACCAAATGCCATCTAATTATCCATCGAGATGACCTCCGGAGACTGCCGAAGATCATACAACCCGATATAAACATAACTATAAATAAAAGTAGTTGGCAAGCAAGTGCAATCGGATTTTTGTTGGTCTGTTTGATTTCATCTTATAGGTTTAAAATATTCGTAAATTATCATTTTCTGCATAAGAACGATTTTTTAGTGGACCGGATCAGTCAACGTAATGGTTATTCCTAATGTCTGACTCTCCCTTGTTTCACTTTTCAATGTTGACATACTTTTCTTTTTAATGAATACACATGCTGACTACCACATGCTGAATACATGAGCATAAATCTCAAACTAAAGTTTGCATGAATACGGATTTTAATGGGTTGAATTATTGACTTGCAAATTAATAATTATACATCAGTGTTTTTTAAAGCTTATTTTGACGAAATTGAATCAAACGGACTGCTAATGGCGAAATATTATCTATTTATTTCGCTTTTGTAAATGTTTGCTACAAAACAAATCTTAATTCATTTTTTCGTCGAATTTGCAGCTAATGCCTCTTTAACAGTTGTAAGGGCTCTCGTCAGTTTTGATGTCTTTGAAATGTGTTTTTCTATAATATTTTAATATGACAGTGTCTGCATTACAAATGGTCAATTTAAAAGTACCAGAATTTGTGCCTTAGCTTTGAGTATTTCAATATAGTGCTGAAAGATTTAGTTACAATAAAAAATAAAGAGATTCGCAGATGACTTATGACATTTTATTTCTTGTAAATTTTAGAAGGTGGACGATAATTCCGTACCTGTTGATTAATTAAGTAGGACCGGGTCAGCAAAACTCAATGTACTTTTTGGAAGAAAAAAAAACAATTGAATATAACAAAAAAGGATGTTTACATTAAATATTTCACCTTTCGAGGGTCAGATTTGCATTGGTTTCTACTTAAAGTCCTTCATGGAAAATAAATATAAGAACTGGTTTTTAATTATATAATTTCTAACGAAGCATTGATTTTTCAGCATGTTATGTAAAATCTGATCCAAGTACGAAATATGATCCCTACCTACTTTGAACATCTACAAATCAGAATATTGAACCATTTATAGCAACAGCTTGTTGATTGTTTCAAGTGGAGTCGAAAAGTGGTAAGTTTTTCTACAAGAATAGAATGATTTATTTATTGTGCTTGGTTTACGCCCAGTTGCAAATATTTCATGCATAATTAGGACGAGAACAAATTAAGAATTAAAAAACAATGTTTTGCTTTTGTAAATTTGGACCCTCTCACGGAGTTGGAATTCTCCCTTCACAGAGAATCATATTTAACGACCCTATCTTGACCACACGTACAGATATTAAAAAGAAATATATGTTATTATATATCTTTATTTTTTTTTATAGAAATAAGTGCATACAGAAGTCTTCTAAAGGAAATCTCATCATTCAGTGAATAAAGATTTTTCTTGAAACAATAAAGGTACACGTATTTCAAAAGCAGTCAAATATGGTTGTTGAAATAACATTAACATTTTGTAATATTAGCTCATTAGAACGTGCTTAAACCACAGTTAAACTTTTGCATTTAGAAGTACTAACCGTAAACCATATTAAATAAAGATAGCACTTAATAAATTTAGTGCATCCGTTCTTTTTTGGATTTACCTTTCTTATCATGTTATAGGACGCTTAAATCTAAAATTTTGAAATCCAGGAATATATGAATAAGTAGAAGTGTTAGGAGCTATATGATCAAAATAGACATAAAAAATGGCTAAATCCATCTAAGAACAACTTTGCCCGAGGGACGCTCAAACTAAATGTATTTGTTCAGTGTATGTTTACTTGTTTTTGTCTATATAGATATAAGAAGTTGTGGTATGAGTGCAATTGAGACAACTCTATGTCATTTTGATCGAGTTAAGCCATTTCAATTGATACTTTAAAGTGTGTCTTTTTATGTTGTGATATTACACTATACTGTTTCAGGTTAGTGTGAAGGTTAGCGCTTGTTAAAACGTTTAAACCCGCTGCATTTGTATGCACCTGTCCTAAGTCATGAGCCTGTTCAGTGGTTGTCGTCTTTTGATGTGGTTCATAAGTGTTTCTGGTTTCTCGTTTTTTATATAGATTAAACCGTTGGTTTTCCTATTTGAATTGTTTTACACAAGTCATTTTGGGGCCCTTTATAGCTTGCTGTTCGGTGTGAGCCAAGGCTCCGTGTTGAAGGCCGTACTTTGACCTATAATTGTTTACTTTTTACACATTGTGACTTGGATGGAGAGTTGTCTCATTGGCACTCATACCACATTTTCTTATTTCTATTGAAATCCAGGGACGCATGAATGCGTAGAAATGTTAAGAGCTATATGATCAAAATTGATTTAAAAAAATAGCCAAATCCATCTTAAAACAAATGAAGGAACCTGAGGAAGTTTGAACCTTAGTTTCTTGATAATTTCTTAATTTATCAAACGGGAATTTTGGAATAGTATGTTAGAAACCATGTCACGTAACAACACGAAGCATGCATTTGCAACTAGTATTCATGTAGATGAATACTATGCATAATTTTCTATGATAATTCAAAAGTATAAGAAGTGAGAATTTCACCAAAATAGTAGCATGCGAATGCTTACCATACGTAGCAGTTCACAACATACATGTAACATGTCAGTAATTATTAAATGTATAGTTGACTTTTCGTTATGTAGTTGCCAAAATTCTCTGATATAATACTGTAAATATATTTGTATATCCCGTAAATTCTTTTATAGAACGATTTATTGTGTACTAAATTGTATACTTTATTCATATATAATATTAGACATTTCGTGATTATGAGTGGGTAGATATTTTGAGATGAAATGACAACACAAAATATCTACCCACTCTTAGTCTTCTATTAAACACGAATTGCCTTTTTTCAAATTTTATTTCAGAATTATTGCTAACTTAAAAGTTTGAAGTACAAATCTAAATATTGTCAACTGCATTTTTATTAAAAAAGGGCATAAGCTACGAGTTAGACACACATTTTAAATACGATTCTTTTTGTTTCAAGTATCATTAAATTTTTAAAGCGGAATTTTGAAATAATACTTCGTTATAAGAAGTTAGTTTGACCAAAATTTGTCAAAATAAGCTCAAAAACATCGCTGATGTAATATTGACTTGTAAGTGAATAATTCGACCTCATGTGAACCCGTATTCATGTGAACCTTCAATTTAACCCCTTAGCCGGAGATGGGTTACGCATGTAAAAGGTGTGTTCAGCTATTAAAGAAAAAGAATGTCAACATCGAAAGTGAAATAAGGGTGAACCATTTTGTTGACTGATTCGATCAACAAAAAATCATTCTTATACAGGTAAAAAAAAAATTGTTTTAACCTATAACATGCAATCAAACAAACCTAGAAAATCCAATTGCACGAGGTCGCTATCTATCTATCTATATATATTTATGTTTATGTCGGGTTATATGACCGTCGGCAGTCTTCGGAGACTAATATACACACGAAATACTGATAAATATTATCCTGTCGATGCATTGTTAATGGTTTATTCAAGACTTCTTGTAATTTGGAAATAGGTTTTAGTATGTTATACATCAAATATGAGAATTTGAGTCAAATCGGGGAACACAAATTTGACAGCTAATGCCCCATTATAATTGTTTTTCGCGAATTTCCGAAGGTCATAATTGCTTTAAATGACTAAAAACTGCAATTCAAATAGATCATGGGGACAAAATGAGCAATTATCCAAAAATGGCCTAGGACTTTCTTAACCCATACAAAGTTTGTGCTTTTTAGCTCACCTTGCCGAAGGCAAAGAGAGCTTTTCTCATCACCTGGCGTCCGTCGTCCGTCGTCCGTCGTCCGTCGTTGTCCGTTAACTTTTACAAAAATCTTCTCCTCTGAAACTACTGTGCCAAATTTAACCAAACTTGCCCATAATCATTATTAGGGTATCTAGTTTGAAAAATGTGTCCAATGACCCTGGTTGTCATCCAAGATGGCCGACATTGATAAAAATAGAACATAGGGGTAAAATGCAAGTTTTTCGTATTATTTCGAAAACGGCTATAAAATCTGACAGGGACAAACATGTTTAGAATGTTGAGCTCTACCTATTGTCTATTTCAGTCAAAACTGTCAGATGACTTCTTATAGGAGTTATTGCCCTTAAATGACAAATTTTACCATTTTAAAAAAAAGTTTGCCTATTATCTCGAAAATAATAATAGATAGATAGAAGCTAAAATGACCAGCAAGCAGCAAGACCAGATCTACAAATAATTCAAACATGACCACAATCGTCATACGACTCCTTATTAGAGTTATTGGTCTTTAATGACGATTTTTACCAATTTGTTGCGTTATTGCCTAATAACTTTAAAACTTTAATAGATAGAGAGAATCTTATTAGAGCAAAAATGGTTAGCACGACAGGATCTACAAATGAGTCAACTTAGCCGAAATCTTCAGTGTGACTCCTTATCAGAGTTATTGTCCTTTAATGATGATTATTACCAGTGCCTAATATCTTTCAAACTATAAAAGATAGAGAGAAACTTGAAAACACAAAAATGATCAGCAAGACCAGATCTACAAACAAGTCAACATAACCGAAATCGTTAGTCCTTATTGGAGTTATTGCCGTTTAATGACGATTTCCCCCATTTTTCCCATTTTTACCTATTATCTTGAAAACTGTAATAGATAAAAAGAAATTTTATAAAGGAAAAACCATCAGTAGGATAAGATATACAAACATGTCAACATAACTGAAATTGGCAGTTAACTCTTAATAGAGTTATTCCCCTTTTATGTTGATTTTTACTCAAAGGTGGCCATTGTTGAAGATGCAGGTGAGCGACACCGGGTCTTTAGAGCCTCTGTTAGATTCAACTACATATTTTCTTTAAAAAATATTTATTTGAAACCCCCCAAATAAAATACGGATTTTGAGCGCATACAGATTTTCAAAGCCTCCACGATACTAACATTCGATACCAGGCGGTGTAAACTGAACATTTTCACTGAACTAGTATACAATTTTGTTTAGGGGCCAGCTGAAGCCCGCCTCCGGGTGCGGGATTTTCTCGCTGGGTTGAAGACCCATTGGTGGCCTTGGGCTGTTTTCTGATCTTTGGTCGGGTTGTTGTCTCTTTGACACATTCCCCGTTTCCATTATCAATTTTGTTGTGTATTTGAATAATATAACGTTTCACCGTACAATCAGAACCAAAAGAAAAATAACAGCATGAATGTCATACGTGTTAAAGTAGTGAACACTTGTCGGAATACACATTAGTGAGATTTAGACAAAAGGGTAAGATGTGATTAATTGGAAGCTAATACTTCCTTTTTCTGCGAAACCGCATATTTCGACTGATTTCGACCGCCATAGGTACCTTATTTATACTTAAATGCTTACCACTTAGGTATAAGAGAGGCGAAAGGAGAATCTTAACATGCAAACCCTGATGATTTAAACACGATCTGTTACCTGCATCAAATTTCCTAAAAGTTAGTAATACCACGTCCATGACGCCAATTCAATTGTATAATAATCACCGTGTAACATCGGTACAGCGGATATAGGTACTAACAAAGCGGGGGGTGATCGATTTTTATCTATATATAAGCTATATACCGTACATTCACTTAACTATGCACAGTACAGAAGGATTTATGTGGTCAGCTATACACCGTACACAACGTTTCTTTTCGGAATAAAATATCGGAAAAAACATATGTATGAACGATTTCAATGCTAATTATTGAAACAGCTATACTTATTACGCACACACAGTGCCCTTCTATCAGAAAAAGAGTTGCAATGAATATAGAATCATATCGGATGAGACGAACGCCAACTTCTTTGACAAGTATTTGCACATATTTTTAGTAAGCGTTCTTGTTTTGGGAAAATAATGAGACTTCTCTTACCATCAATCTAGTACGACCAAATCATTTCTTAAAACAACAATAATGTTTAGATTGAAGTACACATTGATATTATGTAAACAAAACAAAGATTTTCTTACCGTTATCCATTGGCCAGAATAAGTGGCATGAACATTTCATGGGAAATAAAGAGCTTTTAGTGCTAACAATCATAGACTGTACACAATTGGAAATGAATATTCTTAATATCAACCAAGAAAGTGCAATAGAAATAGAAAAGATAAGCAGAAAACTATTTTATAATCTCCACAAGAACATTACTCCATCAACGATTAGTTGTAACAGGACAGAATGTGGCAAAGGACCCTGGGTGCAAGTAATCAAACATCATATAAGGGGGTTAAATTGGCCTAGAAAACAAAATACTTTAACATTTAAGACAAATAATTCAGACAATCGTTTAAAAAAAAATTCTGAGTCCAAGTCTAGTAGTGTTAACTTTGACCATAAAATAGATATTCATCAACACTTAAATATAATCCAACTTAAGGATTTAAATCTAAGACAAATAACTTATTTTAGAAGTTTTAACTATTCACTTTATTTTTATCAATGTTAAATAAAATTGTTAATGTACGTATTAATCATGATTGTTTTCCCTCAATGATACAAAATCAAAAACAAATAAGATATTTTAGATTTTATAAGTTTTATTTACTCCTCAACCTTTTAGCATATTTGAATGGATAAACAAAGTATATTTTATAAGTATTAAACTTCAATCCCATAAGGAATAAGAAGATCAAACTGAAAATCTGTGTATATTTTAAATAGGCACTATGTAAATGATTCACTCGCACTAATAGGTGTAAATAGATTATGGCGTGTTGTTTTATTTTTACATTTAGGTGTATATCCTTTCTATTTTTAAGACATTTCAAACATTAAAATACTTATGCCAGATTGTATATAGACCCTTTTATTATCTTATTATTTTACCTTTTAATTATACCAGTAAAAGTAAGGGCTTTTAATACCGTGTAGGAATCTACTTAGAGAAGAAGAAGTCAGGTCAAAATCGATCACGCCCGCTTGGTTAGTACATATATCCGCTGTACCGATGATACACGGTGATAATCAACTATCGAAATTTGACCCACATTCACAATAAATATTATCATTCGTCTAAAAAAAAAAAATGTTTTATCAATTTGCATGTTTGTCCCCACACGTAACTCTTCCACCGTGCATCATCGGTACAGTATTTGAAACAGATGTGGCTTTTAAATAAAAAAAAAGGTTTTCATTTGTAGACAAAATGTCAAATCAATTATTCGAAGTTGTTAAAATTGGATACTTTGCTAAATGATAAAATATAATGCTAAATAAATGCTAAATATTTTTCTGTAGGATATATATGTCATAAAAATAGTTTTAAAGCTGTTACGATAGTGACATAATAACACAATTGACTGACATTTTTGTTTTCAAAATTTCTCATTTAATTCATGAACAGTTGCCATAATGAACAAAAAAAATCTTCTAAGAAAACATATTTTTTTCTGAATTACGAACCTCAAATATGCAAAAAAAATTTAAAAAGATAACCCGCATGACATATATCTGTATCCGTTTTACGTATGTAATTTAATGACATTTACATTCATCCACATCATAATTACGTTGTATTAGCTCATCTTAAATTGATCCTTAATTTTCTACTTTATATTTGTATAATAATTTGAATATTGTTTTGGCAGAAATATGAATACTATTCCTATTCTACTGACCATGATAATTATCGCCGAGTGTCAGATGGCATTTACTAATGAAGTACAAAACAATCGGCGAATATCTGACTTGCAAGTCACAGAAAACCAAGAAATACAAGACATTGATGCCATAAAAAGGAGATCTATAATATCAGAGGAGACGTATGGCACGGAGGTTACAAGACGAATAGTGGACAGGGCTGAAGATGATGAAAAGGGTGAGTGAGAAAAAGTATACACTACTGACGTCATTAGTTTATGAATACTCAATGATTACCGAGACTATCGTGAAATATATTTGGAATGACACTGTATGTATACACAAGAAGCTTTGAAATGATATTAGATCTAGTTACTTTGTTTCATTGCACGTTTACAGGAACCACCTACTAATTAACAATACAAGTATTTTATGTCTTATTTACTTGAAAGAATGTGATTAAATATTAAAATTTTAAATATTCACTGAATAACATGTATTGATGAGAATGGCACGTTGCAACCTTATATTAAAATTTTATATAAATATTCACTGAATAACATGTATTGATGAGAATGGCACGTTACAACCTGTAATACATTATTCATATATTGAACGGGGGAAATGTACATATTTAATCTGAATATAGCTATGGTACTTGACGCTGGACACCACTCAACATTTTTTCAACGTGCTTTCTTGTCTTCTATAAATCAGTGAAATTATATAAATTTAATATAGTTAAACAAATATATACAATACTTCTTATTTTGTGTGTGGGGGTAGAAGGGCAATTGACTGCTTGCCACTTCCTGGGTTGGGGAGGAGGTCACATGACTACTTTCTACTTTATTTTTGCATGAGGGGGAAAAATTGACTACTTGCTCCCTCGTGTGTAAGTGAAGTAGGGCAATTGACTACTTAATATACAGTCCGCCAAAAGTTAAGCACCACCTAAATATAACTGTCAATATTTTTTTTAACTATTGCGAAAAAAATATTTATGTTTGGTGTTATGAATTGCCTATAGCATACACTAAGAAAATTCATTACGACCAAAAAAATTAAATTATATCGGAATATACCCGCCAAGCAACCTTTTATCAAAGGTCATCTGCACTTTTACAAATACACTGTTTCGATGCCTTTAAATCATCTTCCTACTGTCCCGCGTACAGGTGAAATTTGACCTTCACCAAGTCACTGTGAAATATGGCAAGCGGTAAGTTATCTGTGACTGAACGTTGACAAGCAATTGACATGTCAAATGCCGGTAGGAGCACTAGGAGCATTGGTAACCATTTCAATGTTAATCGCACCGTCATTATCAGATTTGTACAACGTCATATTGACACAGGAACTGTAAATGATAGACCAAGGTCCGGAAGACCCCGTTTAACTACCTATCGTGATGACAGACTACTTATTGGTCATGCTAAAGCCAACCCATTTACTCCTACCCCATAGCTTAGACACCACTGGCCTCCAGGTGGTCGTGTTAGTGTTCGAACATTGGTCCGTCGACTTCATAGAGGCTACCTAAGAGCACGTCGTGTTGTCAAAAGACGTGCCCTAACAGCCAGGCACCGTATAATCAGGTTTCAAAGGGCTAATGACCATCGAAGATGGAACATGAGAACCTGGCAAAATATTCATTGGTCAGATGAGAGTTGGTTTCTGTTACGACCAATAGACGGCAGAAAATGAGTTTGGCGTGGAAATAAAACTGCCTATCACCAAAACAACAATTGCTCAACGACAGCAATCGTTGATGGTGGTGTTACAGTAAGGGGTTTCTTCTCATACTGTTGTAAGCTGGGTATGCATATTTTGCAGGGTAACATGAACAGACAGACATACAGGGATTTGGTGCTTAGAAACATTGTAGTCCCTCATTTTGAGAATCCCCAACTTGCGTCAAGACACTCATACATGGACGACAACGCTAGACCACACAGGGCAAGGATTGTAATTCCGATTACAAAGATCAAGAAGCCATTGACACTATCTTTTGGCCTTCCATGTCTCCAGACCTGATCTCTATCGAACATGTCTGGGATGCCATTGGCAGAAATCTCAATCGCAGAGATCCACCTTTGCAAAATCTTGGCGATTTAAGAGGAGCAATTGTTGACGAATGGAATAAATTTCCTCAACTAAAGTTCAGAAGGCTTGTACAGAGTATGAGACGCCGTGTTATGGAACTGTACCGGAAGAGAGGTGGTTACACATCCTATTGACTTAAATATTGACATTAAATTTGCCGAACATACCAAAGATTATTTGTAGAGACTTTTAATGATTTTGGGTGATTAATTGTTGTAAAAAAATAAATTCAAAGTAAAACTTAAATTCCGTTTTTGATATGTGTAATTTTCACTATTTCCAAGAACGCAAAATTCAAATGCATAGAACCTGCATCAGTGACAAAACTTAAGTTTATGGTTTGTTTATGGCATATGTTAGCAAAATTGCTGCATGAATATTTTGTCTTTTTCAAGGATTAACTGGTTTTTTTAAATGAAAAAAAAAAATCGATGCAACAAACATAGGTGGTGCTTAACTTTTGGCGGACTGTATACTTCGTTTGTCGGGAAAGGAGGGCAATGGACTACTTGCTACTTTGTTTGTCGGGGAAGGGGGCAATTGACTACTTCCTCCTTCGTGCTTGAGTGAAGATGGGCAATGGACGACTTCCTTCTTTGTGTGTGAGAAAAAGAGGACAACTGAAATGGATTCACTGCATGCCAAATGTCTTAACGGTACTGAATTTACAACAAGAAAATATCTAAAAAATAACACTTAACGTTTTTCGGTTCAGACTCTCAAGATGATGTTATGATCAAAATGACCATTTCGGACAATTGACTACATGCTCCTTCGTGTGTGAGTGAAGACGGGTGATTGACTTTTTCCTTTGTGTGTTGGGGAAGGGGGCAATTGATGACTTGGTCCTTCGTGTGTGAGAGAAAAAGGACAATTGACTATTTGCTCCTTCGTTTGTGGGGGAAGTAGGGCAATTGACAACTTGCTGCTTTGTGTGTGTGGGAAGGAAGGCAATTGACTACTTGGTCCCTCGTGTGTGAGTGAAAGATGACCATTGACTACTTGCTACTTTGTACGATTGGGGAAGCGGGCAATTGACCACTAGCTCCTTTTTGTGTGGTTGGAAAGAGCGCAACTGACTACATTCTCCTCGTGTGTGGCGGAAGGAGAGCAATTTTTTACTTGCTCCTTCGTATTCGGAGATGGAGGGCAATAAATTACCTGCTCCATCCTTTTTCCTGCCTTGACTCGTACATTATATTCTTATTTGACACCTTGATGAACCGAGCAAAACACTCGAGTGCTTAAGGTTTTCGTTGACTCTGTAAAGAAAACCCAACTCGTACATTTCTTTCTTATGATGTTATATCACAAAAAACTAAGAATATCTTATAAGTCGTTGGTCAATATCTATTTAAAATATGGCAATTATCATTAATAATGCCATAATAAATTGTATTCCGTACTTCATTGAATATAAATTTGATAAATATATTTTTTCGCACAGCCGGACCAAGAATAGAAAGACTAGTAAAAAGGGTTACAGTGAAAGAATTGGAACACAAATTAAATGTTGCACGAAAGGAAAACAGAGCTCAAATCAAGGCATGCGGAGAAAAACATAATTTTAAGCCGTTTGAACAATGCAAAAATTGTTATCAGAATTGTAGAGGTATGTTATACTCCAATGTCATTTGAAAGGTGTTTAGTATATGTAAGAGAATGATAATCCCTTTCTTCATGATTAAGTACGAGCGTTAGCGAGTACTTATCATGAAGTAAGGGATTATCATTCTCTTACAAACTTAGAATATTGTAAAGTGGTAAAGGTTCTCAAATGATCTCTTAATTGGTTGTATTTAAGAATTAGTTTCATTGTCAGTGCAATATTTTTAATTAATGCATGACTTCCTTTTTAGGCATTTCATTTATGGATAAGTTTTAGTGATGTAAGGACTTTCTTATCATTTGGGAAATATTTTAAAAAATATGCGGTATAGATATTAGGTGACACAACAGAACACAACAGAACAAAGAAAATGTAGGAATTGTATATGTTTCCTGATTGTGCGTATGAATGTATATCATGTAATATTTTAGTGAGGAATTATCCTTTTTTTTAATTTACAGTTTAAATCAAATGATACATTTGAGTTACAACTAAATTTTATTTAACAGCCAATATTTTGGTCTGGCTTTTTACATCAAATTCCATTTCATTATGTCAGGGAAATTTTCAAATAAAATGCCTTTAAAAGTTTTTAATATGTTCAAAACTTAAATTAAATTCCTGTTTTTTTTTGTTTTTGTTTTTATTTTATCGGAATATTGGAAATAACTATTCTTCCAAACCGCTGATCCAGTGATCAAAGTTTTTGAAAGCTAAATATTAATTTTTTTTTTATTTTCAAAGCTTATTTTTTCTTTTTATGCAAATGCTTTGCAAATGTTTAATTACTTAGTAATTTGAAGAATATCTTCATAATAACATTCACGGTACCAATTTTACTGCACAGTAAACTTCAACTTCTTTTGAGTTTTTTCTTTGTTTCACAATTCAACTTTTAGTCAGTTTCAATCACTGTGTGATAAATCCTTTCAATCTGATAAATGTGCTTCGGGGCAGTTGTAACTCATTTATAGAAACTCTTTGTTTTGAACTGTAAATAGACCCAAATAATAGGATAATCACTTACTAAGAACATGATTTGCATTCATTCTTCACAACTAAGAGGCATCAGATCCTACAATTTCATTGGTCGAGAGCACTTTGCTATATTCTAAATTTTGAAATTAATGTTTGTCAGATGTTGACACAAACTAATTATTTCAAAAACAAAAATGTGAAATATGTTTTCTTCATTAAAAACACTCGGGGTTAAAACCTTCAAAACGTGAAATTGCTATGAACAGCAACATTGATTACAGCAAATGAGATTTTATGAACATTTTTGCCATTAATCATTGTCAGTATAAATGCTATAATATAACGTGTCGTCAATAGACTTATCTACAAATACAATACTGTTACATCAATCCTAATGCAACTGACAATAAATACCGCCAACTCATACATTTTAATTTCAGTCACACGTGCACACAATTTCAGACCACCAATCATGAAATAAAGGCCCCGAAATTAGGAGCTTTATCCATTTTAAATGATTTTAACAAACAATGTTGCGTTTGAAAAATCATTGCCAGTACTTATTAAGCTGAGTATAACTTATACGAAGAATTGTACATATATATTTTTGTATCCTACAGAACAAATTCGAGAGGAAATTTTCCTTTTTGTTAAAATATATTTTTTTTAAAATTAATTTACTTTAACTTTCAGGTCCTAGACACTGTATGCGGTGCAGATTAGTGTGCTTACGGGACAAGAACGAATTGAACTCAAAAGGTGCGATTTTTGATTTTCTACACTCTACACTACTATTCCCAATGCTCAATTGAAAGATCGACTTCATCTTTCAATCAAACAGAGCTTTTTCTAAAAAATCTATTAAATTTTTTTAATCCATGTTTTACAAAAAGTTAATATATACATATTCTCAACACACAGTCGTTATTCCAGTGGGTACTAATTGTGCACTTCTATCGGGCTACTTGTTTTTGTACTCGAATGAAGCAGAATTCAGACAAAACCTTCTGACAGACAATACGAAAAAACATCTTGCAAAGTTCTTAATTTCACTTTCAGATATATTGATGATGTCTCGAACTAGAATTCTTTTCAAACGTCATTTCAGCTTTCCCATTGTCAACTTCCCAGGCTTCAGCTTACCCTCTGTCTCAACTTATGGCGTTTACATATCTCAGTTCATACGTTATGCATCTGCTGATTCACATCATACGCACATTATTAAGAGGAACGCACAATATTAACAGAATTGTGCTCCTGACACAAAAAATACTCCAACAGGGTCATGAGAAAGAGCGCCGACTGAAATCGATATTATATAAGTCACTAGCGACATGTTTTCGCAGTCTTTGATCTTAAGATCGGAGAATAGTTAGCTGATCTGTAAATTTACCGGATGTGTTTTATTCGCTATTGTGATATTTTTTCTACTGAATGTGGATTCGCATGTACGATGATTTATTTATAACAAAGATGCTTACTCTAGCCACATGGTCACGCTCATTGAGTATCGTACGATTACCTCAAATTTTGTTTCTTGTTTATATTTATGAGATTTATGAGATTAGAACATCGGCAAACTATTGTTGCCTTTAATTAAGAACCCAATAACAAAGTCGAAGAAATATTGAATTTCCTTAGTGTATGTTTTGATTGAAGAACTATACTTAGTATTATACAAGCCTTGCCTTGTTACAGTCTTTAGAGAAGAAATACAAGTCAAAACCTTGAACTACTAGTATGTTCAATCGTACGTAAAAAATGCATATGCCTGTTCTAATAAGAAAATTCTTGATATTTTTTGTACGAAATATACATCAAGACAGACTTACCAGATTTTCTACAAGAAGAAAGACAACTTACATTCATCTACGTGAAAGTATATTCCAATCCTCTTCTTAAAAAGTATAATCGTACATTATAACGTTTTTTCCCCTGTTATACGATAACCTTAATATAAAAATAGGGTAATTTTTAATCGTTCCGTTTTATATGAGGCGTAAAAGCATAATGTTTCTAGTTCACCAACACTGTCCTTTTGATCTTACATTGTTATTTCTCAAAACATGTACAAAATTATCCCGAAATGCTTTCTCTTGCACATAAAAATGACACTGTCTATGTTGACAGCAATTCTTTTGCTTTGAATATATTGAGGAAAATCAATAAAACAGGTACTTATTGTAAAGTTTGTTTTAATTTGTTACAGGCTGCGATATAGACAAAAGTAAAATAAACGCATTACGACAAAGGATAAATGTTTTAACAGTAAGTATGAACAGTAATTGGAAGAAGTAGAGTCATGAACATAGAAAGCTGCAGCATGATATATATCTTTTTTTATATAATTTTCCTTACCCTTGCTTTGACCGATATCGTTTTATTTTAATTAGCATTGTACATCTTCAAGTATTTATATTTGTTTACAGTTAGTTTAGAATTTCTGCTTTTTGTTGCACGTTTAAAAAAAGGTATATTGTATTTAAGAGACAGGAGGGTTACTTTTTTTTATAATTTTCCTTACCCTTGCTTTGACCGATATCGTTTTATTTTAATTAGCATTGTACATCTTCAAGTATTTATATTTGTTAACAGTTAGTTTAGAATTTCTGCTTTTTGTTGCACGTTTAAAAAAAGGTATATTGTATTTAAGAGACAGGAGGGTTACTTCCGGTTGAATAAAAAAAATTATTGTGCCATACTGAAAATTTTCAAAAAGAGCATGAACAAATTTAATCAATTTCTTTTTATTCTAGGGAAAATGAGATGTCAATAAGTGAAAAGAGCTACTGTAGAGATTTTAGAAAATGAAATGAATAAAATTCTATGCAATGAACATCATCTTATATATTTTGTGAAAATAATAACACGTAAAACATGTTTCAAGGTGTAGGAATCTTCAATTAAAATCTGAAAGTCTTGAAATTCAGATCTTGTTGTTGGTTGCTGCCTACCATTTTGGTTTGTGGTTTGTTGTTTTTAGCATGAATCATGCCGTTGGTTTTCTCGTTTGAATAGTTTCACATTTTGGTATTGGTAGGGTCTTTTACATCTTACTCTACGGTATGGGCTGTGATCGTTGTAGAAGGCCGTACAGTACCATATAATTGTTTACATATTCGTCATATGTATTTTGGTTGATAGTTGTCTCATTGGAAATAATACGACATCTCCTTGTTCTTATATTTAAGATGAGAAGTTCACTTTTCTAAAAAATAGATATACCTTTCAAGTTGTGAACTTTTATTTTCAAGCATGTGCATATATTATCACAGAAATATTATAATTGTCATAGCAAAACTCCCATCCTCTTTAACCTCGTTTATAATATCATCGAATTCGGCGAGTTATTACGGGATTTTTGCTTGCCAAGAGCTGCATGACGGGTGTCACAAGTGGAAAAGAAACTGCTTATCCCTCTTGATCACATGAGTTCATCGCCATCACCTTTCGTTTTGCTCAATCTTTACTTATGTGTAGTATTTTGTGACCTGTTGTTTTGACTGTTTGTTTTTTTTTCTTTGAGTCATGGTGGGTTTTTTTCTTGAACATTTTTGTCCCATCGGTATCTTCCCCCATTCTACACGTGCAGTTTAGTAAACGGGCTCTCTGGTTTTCTTTCGATCTTTTGTTTATATGTGCACTTATCTTCGTGCTGTATCGTGAGCTGTTTACACTTATGTTTCTGAAATATTTTGAACTGATCTTTGAATTCATTTGGTTTATGTTTTATACGAGTACACACCATGTTTTTTATACTGGTCTATATTTAAAATTACACTTACACAATTATTTGATTAGAGCATATTTTATATTTATTACGTTTGAATGATGTGGTTTTCAACAAACAATCGGCATTCTTAAGGGAACTAATTGTGCTCCTCTTCTCGTCGACTTGCTCCTGTATTCATATGAGTCAACTTCATACAGGAGCTTCGTAGGAAGAATGAAAGGAAGCTAGCATTATTTCCGCTATATAGATGATGTCCTCTCACTACATAATTCAAAGTTTGGTGACTATGTTGTACGCATCGAACTTGAAGAAAAGAATACCACAGATACATTTAAGTCTGTCTCATGTCTTGATTAAACGTACATCTAGAAATTGACAATGAGGATCGGTTGAGAACAAAACTTTACGACAAAAGGTATGATTTCAGCTTCCCAATTGTGAACTTTACATTTCTATGTAGCAACATTCTAGGAGCGCCTGCATCTGCAGTTTATACGATACTCCTGTACTTGCGTTTTCTATCACGATTTGTTTGATTGATGATTGCTGATAACAAGGAATCTATTCAACCAAGGGTTCCAAGAGTTCCAAGTGGTAAAGTTGAAGTCATCCCTTCGAAAGTTTTAAGGACCCCACAACGAGTCGGTTGACCGTTATGGATTATCTGTGTGACAAATGAACACGAACATGTTCCAACCACAATCCCATCCTCCTTTGCTTGATTGTGACATCCCCGAATGAGACTTGTCACCGGACTTGTACTTGCTTTAGCAACACGACGGTGCCACTTGTGGAGCAGGAACTACTTACCCTTCAGGTGCATATGAGTTCACCTTCGGTTTTTGATGGGGTTTGTTGTGCTCAAAATTTGTTTTTCTGTGTAGTATTTTGTGGACTTGTTTCTTCTTTTTAGTTTGTTTTTTTCCATGGCATTGTCAGTAATTTTTCTTCGACTTATGAGTCTTGAGTGTCCCCTTGGTATCTTCCGCCTCTTTTTTTCCCTTCTTGATGTATTTTGGATTAGTCTTTGTTATCTTTTGAGAGTTTGTTTACAAGTGAACTTAAATTTGTAATGTGATGTTTGTTTTAGTCTTTTGACAAGTTGTTTACATGAGCACTTATCTTTGAGATGAATTGTGTGTTCATCTTTGTCTTCTTTTGATATTTTTACACGTCAAAATGTGTATTTACCTTTTTGATGTATTTTACTTTTTTATTTGTTGTTTGCATATGCAATTATCTTAATGATTTATTGTATGCTAGTATTCGCCTCTTTTTATTTGTTGTTTACATGTGCACTTATATTTTTGATTTATTGTGTCCTGGTATTCACCGCATTTGATATGTTGGTTACACATACACTTATTTTTGTGATGTATTGTCCTGATATTCTCCATCTTTTGGTTTGTTTTTTACATATACACACATTTTTGTGATGTATTGTGTGCTGGTATTCCTCTCTTTTTATTTGCTGTTTACAAATTCACTTACGTTGGGATGTGTTGTCTTGGTACTCTCCTTCTTTTGATTTATTGTTTTCACATACATGATTTATCTTTGTGATGTGTTATGCCTGGTATATCTGCCTTCTTTTGATTTGTTGTCTACACGTGCACTTATCTTTTTGGTGCAATATGTTCTATTATTCACCTGTTTTGATTTGATGTTTACACGTACACTTATCTTTGTTATGTGTTGTGTCCTGGTATCTTTCTTTTTTGGATTGGTTGTTTACACGTACACTTATCTTTGTTATGTGTTGTGTCCTGGTATCTTCCTTTTTTTATTAGTAACTGTTGTTCACACTTACACTTATCTGTGTGATGTATTGTGTCCTTGTATTTTCCTTTATGATTTTGTTTACACGTGCACTTATCTTTAAAATGTATTATGCTCTGGTATTTTCCTTCTTTTGATTGTTGTTTACAAGTGCACTTATCTTTTTTATGTAGCGTGTCTTGATATTCCCCTCTTTTGGTTTGTTGTTTACACGTACACTTATATTTGTGGTCATGGTGATGTGTTGTGTCCTGGTTTTTTCCTTTTTTTTTGATTTGTTGGTTACAAGTGCACTTATATTTTTTATGTAGTGTGTCCTGATATTCCCCTCTATTGATTTGTTGTTTATACATACACTTATCTTTATGATGTAGTGAGTCCTGATATTTTCATTTTTATTTTTTTTATTCACACGTGAACTTATCATTTTGATGTAGTGTGTCCTGGTATTCACCGGTTTTGGTATGTTGTTTACACGTACACTTATCTTTGTGATGGAGTGTGTGCTCGTATTTTTCTTCTTTTGATTTGTTCTTTACACATACCCTTATCTTTGTGGTGATTTGTATGCTGGTATTTCTTTCTTTAAATTTGTTATCTACACCTTTCAGTTTTACTTTGTAACTGTCTTTGTGTTTTTTTTTACATCAACTCATGTTTGTGTCGTATAGTGAATCTTCTTTATGAGACAACTTTCCGTCATGGACCTAATGACGTAGAAGTTACCAATTATTGGTCACTGTATGGCCTTCGACTATGAGTAAAACCCCTACTGAATAGCAAGCTTTGTTTTCTTTTGTTATTTACACATTCTTTGATCTTGACATGTGATCTTTCATACTGAAATAAATGGCGAATGTGTCCATGGGACACAGATGATGCCCCCGCTTGCATATAACGTTATAAAGGGACATAACTCAAGAACTGTAAAAGTGACGCTACCCAAATTTGTATTTGATCTGAATTTTGTGGTAATAAGTATAGTGTATACGTTTCAAAACATTTAGTTGAGGCAAACTTAAGTTGGAGAACGGAAACGAAAAATTCAGCTATTTTTTCATTTGTAAAGGGGCATAACTCTAGACCGGTAAATGTGACGCCACCAAAATTCAAACTTGATCTGTGTTTTGTGGTAATTAGCATTAAGCATACGTTTCATAACATTTGGTTGAGGCTAACTAAAGTTAGAGAACAGAAACGAATATTTAAGCAATTTATCATTTGTAAAGGGGCATAACTCTAGAACGGTAAAAGTGACGCCACCAAAATTCAAACTTGATCTGTGTTTTGTGGTAATAAGCATTGTGTATAAGTTTCATATCATTTGGTTGAGGCAAACTAAAGTTAGAGAACGGAAACGAAAAATTCAGCCATTTTTACATATTTGTAAAGGGGCATAACTCTAGAACGGTAAAAGTGATGCCACCAAAATTAAAACCTGTTCTGTGTTTTGTGGTAATAAGCATTGTGTATAAGTTTCATAACATTTGGTCGAGGCAAACTAAAGTTAGAGAACGGAAACGAAAAATTCAGCCATTTTTCCTTTTGTAAAGGGGCATAACTCTAGAACGGTAAAAGTGATGCCACCAAAACTCAAACTTGATCTGTGTTTTGTGGTAATAAGCATCGTGTATAAGTTTCATAACATTTGGTTGAGGCAAACTAAAGTTAAAGAACGGTAACGAAAATTTCAGCCATTTTTCCATTTGTAAAGGGGCATAACTCTAGAAAGGTACAAGTGACGCCACCAAAATTCAAAGTTGATCTGTGTTTTGTGGTAATAAGCATTGTGTATAAGTTTCATAACATTTGGTTGATGCAAACTAAAGTTAGAATACGGAAACGAAAAATTCAGCATTTTTCCATTATAATTTGTAAAGAGGCATAACTCTAGAACGGTAAAAGTGACGCCAACAAAATTCAAACCTGTTCTGTGTTTTGTGGTAATAAGCATTGTGTATAAGTTTCATAACATTTGGTCGAGGCAAACTAAAGTTAGAGAACGGAAACGAAAAATTCAGCCATTTTTACATATTTGTAAAGGGGCATAACTCTAGAACGGTAAAAGTGATGCCACCAAAATTAAAACTAGATCTGTGTTTTGTAATAATTAGCATTGTGTATAAGTTTCATAACATTTGGTTGAGGCAAACTAAATTTAGAGAATGGAAACGAATAATTCAGCCATTTTTCCATTTGTAAAGGGGTATACTCTAGAACGGTAAAAGTGACGCCACCAAAATTCAAACTTGATCTGTGTTTTGTGGTAATAAGCATTGTGTATAAGTTTCATATCATTTGGTTGAGGCAAACTAAAGTTAGAGAACGGAAACGAAAAATTCAGCCATTTTTACATATTTGTAAAGGGGCATAACTCTAGAACGGTAAAAGTGATGCCACCAAAATTAAAACCTGTTCTGTGTTTTGTGGTAATAAGCATTGTGTATAAGTTTCATAACATTTGGTCGAGGCAAACTAAAGTTAGAGAACGGAAACGTAAAATTCAGCCATTTTTCCTTTTGTAAAGGGGCATAACTCTAGAACGGTAAAAGTGATGCCACCAAAACTCAAACTTGATCTGTGTTTTGTGGTAATAAGCATCGTGTATAAGTTTCATAACATTTGGTTGAGGCAAACTAAAGTTAAAGAACGGTAACGAAAATTTCAGCCATTTTTCCATTTGTAAAGGGGCATAACTCTAGAAAGGTACAAGTGACGCCACCAAAATTCAAACTTGATCTGTGTTTTGTGGTAATAAGCATTGTGTATAAGTTTCATAACATTTGGTTGATGCAAACTAAAGTTAGAATACGGAAACGAAAAATTCAGCATTTTTCCATTATTATTTGTAAAGAGGCATAACTCTAGAACGGTAAAAGTGACGCCACCAAAATTCAAACCTGTTCTGTGTTTTGTGGTAATAAGCATTGTGTATAAGTTTCATAACATTTGGTCGAGGCAAACTAAAGTTAGAGAACGGAAACGAAATATTCAGCCATTTTTACATATTTGTAAAGGGGCATAACTCTAGAACGGTAAAAGTGATGCCACCAAAATTAAAACTAGATCTGTGTTTTGTAATAATTAGCATTGTGTATAAGTTTCATAACATTTGGTTGAGGCAAACTAAATTTAGAGAATGGAAACGAATAATTCAGCCATTTTTTTATTTGTAAAGGGGTATACTCTAGAACGGTAAAAGTGACGCCACCAAAATTCAAACTTGATCTGTGTTTTGTGGTAATTAGCATTAAGCATAAGTTTCATAACATTTTGTTGAGGCTAACTAAAGTTAGAGAACAGAAACGAAAATTTAAGCAATTTATCATTTGTAAAGGGGCATAACTCTAGAACGGTAAAAATGACGCCACCAAAATTCAAACTTGATCTGTGTTTTGTGGTAATAAGCATTGTGTATAAGTTTCATATCATTTGATTGAGGCAAACTAAAGTTAGAGAACGGAAACGAAAAATTCAGCCATTTTTCCATTTGTAAAGGGACATAACTCTAGAACGGTAAAAGTGATGCCACCAAAACTCAAACTTGATCTGTGTTTTGTGGTAATAAGCATCGTGTATAAGTTTCATAACATTTGGTTGAGGCAAACTAAAGTTGGAGAACGGAAACGAAAATTTCAGCCATTTTTCCATTTGTAAAGGGGTATACTCTAGAACGGTAAAAGTGACGCCACCAAAATTCAAACTTGATCTGTGTTTTGTGGTAATAAGCATTGTGTATAAGTTTCATAACATTTGGTTGAGGCAAACGAAAGTTAGAATACGGAAACGAAAAATTCATCATTATTCCATTTGTATTTGTAAAGAGGCATAACTCTAGAACTGTAAAAGTGACGCCACCAAAATTCAAACCTGTTCTGTGTTTTGTGGTAATAAGCATTGTGTATAAGTTTCATAACATTTGGTTGAGGCAAACTAAAGTTAGAGAACGGAAACGAAAAATTCTGCCATTTTTACATATTTGTAAAGAGGCATAACTCTAGAACGGTAAAGGTGACGCCACCAAAATTCAAAGTTGATCTGTGTTTTGTGGTAATAAGCATTGTGTATAAGTTTCATAACATTTGATTGAGGCAAACTAAAGTTAGAGAACGGAAACCAATTTTGGGAAGTACGGGACGTACGTATGTACGGACGGACAAGGGTAAAACTTAATGCCCCCTCCGCTACGGTGGGGGCATAAAAAGAGAGGGGAAAATACCAAAGGGATATTCAAACTCATAAGTCGAAAATAAACTGAAAACGCCATGGCCTAATAAAGAAAAAGACAAACAGACAAATAATAGTACACAAAACACAACATAGAAAACTAAAGCCTGAGCAACACGAACCCCACCAAAAATTGGGTGTGTTCTCAGGTGCTCTCGAAGGGTAAGCAGATCCTGCTCCACATGTGGCACCCGTCGTGTTATTCATGTATGTACAAACCCAGTGATAAGTCTAATTCGATAGGTCACATTCGGGGAAAAGGGGAAAGGATTGAAGTTACAACAATTGGAACATATCCGTCGTCATCTGTGAAACAGATATTCCATAACGGTCAACCAACTCCTGATGGTGACCGTAAAATTTACGAAGGCCGGATGATTTCAATTTCACCACTTGGAACTCTTGGTTTAATAGCTTCCGTGTGAGCAGCAACCCTTTATCAAGGAAGTCATGATAGGAAAAACAAGCCCTGGAATATCGTATCAACTGGGAGATATAGACTCCGTATGCAGGCGCTGCTGGAATGTTGAAATATTGCGAAATAGGCTTTTCTGTTCATTTTTGGTTAACACATGCATTGATCTTTGTTTACATAAGATTGGAGTCGAATGCATCTGCCACATTTAAACTCACAACCTCAGTGTTGACAGGCTAGTAATACATTAAATTAAAATAAACTACTTAAACCACTCAGCCACTGAGGCCCCACAGTACAATATCTTACAAATGAACTTATTGTAAACTAGTATTTGTAGTTTGCAAATTTATTAACCTGTAGTTATGTTTGTGTGATATATTCTGTGTTGGGGCTTTTGATTTGGTTTCTATTGTCCTTCATGCATTTAAGTTGTCTTAGTAGAAAAGCTGTCTATGCACCATAACAGTGTTTAATTCAAAATTCAAACCATTTGAAATTGAAAATCTATATAAAAGAACTACAAAAGAAACAGTATAATTGTGATTATTCACAAGCTATTCCCTTTCACAGTACCAATTCACACACTGAAATGTCTTGTCTGCTTTATTGATTACGATCAAATTTTATTTTCAAAGTTTATAAGAACAAGGTCTTAATAGAGGTATTAGGTAAACTAAACGACGTTGGTCAATGAACTATACAAATGAGGTCAAGATCAGATGAACCCTGTCGGTCAGAAATGAACATATAACAATCTAGTGGCCGATCCGGGTTTGGGGGTTCCGCGAGTTGGACCCGACTTTTTTTTAATAGATCAATGCATTTGAATGGTTGCCCCCCCCTTTTTCTCTTGAGTTGGGAACCCCAGGATCAGCCCCAGATTGCCCCCCAAAAGGGAGTTCCTCTATATTCAATATTGTATGTTGAGCGTGTCTGGTAGTCGGGTTTTTAATGCAGACACACCTATCCCTTAGTATGTTCGAATATGAATGTTTGTTTATTCTCAAGAAGAGGAGGGGGGAGCTTTTGTTTTTGATAAAATCGTAAGATATAAAATACAGTTATGATTACCTTCATTAAACTGATACAGGTAAGTACTTTGGGTTATAATATTGCCTATACCTTTAGTCTCTTCTACCAAATCCAACGCTTGCCACAAAATGTCGTCCGTCTTATACCCGTCCATATTGACAACTGTATACCAGGAGCATGATGTATTTTTTGTTTGTAATAAGAATACACGAAACAGTCAACCTTGACCTGCTGATCCATATTAGCACAGGATTTAACGGGAATATGCAAAACAACTTGACATTTGTAAAATATACTCACTTGTCAAAGTTTGAACGAAGATAACCAAAGAAAGGTTACTAGCGGGGTTTCATGTAATAAAAAAATATTTTCATAAATCATGGTTTGATATTGTCAATAAATATGCTATCGTTTTCTTTTTTTTCGTTTAATAATCAATGTTAAAAAATATAGGGTTTATAATGGGTGTAAGTTAGTTATACACCTAGGGATACGGCGTGTCTGGATAAGAAACCCCTCCGGCCTCCGGCCGACAGGGTTTCTTATCCAGACACACCTATCCCTGGGTGTATAACTATTACAGAATATAGTTGACATATTGCTCATAGTATCTGAGAAAAGAACCTAATCCGGGAAACTTAATATTGACTAATGAACAAAGAAAATAAGCTCACGGTCAGATGACCCTATCATATGGTTATGAACACTTATAATCATTCTATTCGCCAGATATAATTGACCAAGAACTTAACAGTTTATGAGAAAATTACCTGATCACAAAGAAGTCAATGTTTATCAATGAACCATGAAATTTGAGGTCAAGGTCAGATGAACCCTCTCAGGATATTCAACTTACAATCATTCTATACACCAATTATAGTTTACCCATTACTTAAAAATATTTATACATTGCAGTGATTCTGTATTACAAATAAGGTAACAAAAAAGTTATGCGATAAAACAAAATTGTTTAAAGTGGGCTTTAACCAGGAAAATGAGGTTAATGACAATGAATATATGACACACAGTAACTTCTGATCAAAAGCATCTTTATACCAGATATCAATTATCCAGCTACTTTACCATCTGAAGTTTTATGCATCCCTATGCCTCTCATATGGGGCATTTGTTGCATACCAGAGTCTATACAAATCAGGAGCCTGTAATTCAGTGGTTGTTGTTTTGCTGTATATCATATTTGTTTTTCGTTTATTGTTTTGTACATAAATCAGACTGTCAGTTTTCTTGTTTGAATTGTTTTACATTTGTCATTTTGGGACCTTTTATAGATTACTATGGCATATGAGTTTTGCTCATTGTTGAAGGCCGTACAGTGACCTATAGTTGTTAACTTCTATGTCATTTGGTCTCTACTTGAGAGTTGTCTCACTGACAGTCAAACCACATCTTCTTATCTTTATAATAACCAAATTTTAGGAAAATTATTTGTACTTTTATCTATGAGTACATCATGAGGATGTTATAATAAATACAAAGACGTTGTTTCAGAGACTGGATTTTTATATTACAAATATTTTCTCTTCTTAAACTCAAATATTATGTAGTCTAACAAGGTTTTCTATAATGATGTCCCGATCACTTTGTACCAAAATGTCTAAAGGTTTAGCATAATACACAGTGGCTCTGTCACTTCCATTTAATTCAATGTTTTTATCAAGCTTTTCATGATGACTTTCTGACATCTCCAGCATTGTAAAATAAACCTAAAAAATATTAAAAGCCATTAAATCTTGAACAATGTCACTACTAAATAAATAAAATAAATCTATGGTTAAAGAGTTCACCAATTAATGGGAATAATTTTTTTCAACTAAGCAAGATTAACTGAAATGTAATTGCTGATTGACAGAAGGGAGAACTGACCAACAAAGCAATAACTTAATGCTCCTGAAAATATTTCCAGGAAGCATAAAATATTAATGTGTTATACAAATACCAAGATATACAGATATGGTATGCTTTGATATTTAGCATAAAAATTTGTAATTAAAAAAAAATTTGGTCAAAAGGGGGAAGGAATAAAAATAGATTTGCAAAATTTTCAGACTAAATAGGAGTAAAAGTATCATCACTACTGATAATGTATTTGTACCTTAGTCCCATCTACTATTATGCCTGGTAAAGTCATAATATTTGACACTTTTGGTTCACTTTTGTATTTATGAAGATCAAGTAGAAGTTCCCCTGCATGTGTTGCAAGTGTATTACTGCTAATATAACTTATTATTTCCGGTATTCGGTTATCGGACATATCACTAATCTGTGAGGAGATGTTAGAACTGGTGAACTCTGTGACCTGATGTGATTCTTCAGTGTAAATATCTTCTGTGCTACTTATATGTCTTTTTCTAATGTGATGATGCCTTTTAGAATGTTTTGATTTTTTGCTATAAGATCCTCTTTCTGGATGTTTTAATCCTGTGTAACCAATTCTTTTTCCATTCTTTACCTGTAAATACAATCACTGTGTTAATAATTAAACAAGAGTGCACACGCTGAAATGTCTCGCCTTCTTTACTAATCATTGATATTATGTTGATAGTCCTAAATATAAAGCTTTATTACAACTGTCACATAAACTTAACATTAACCAAGTAAACTAAACATTGACCAATGAACCATGAAAATGAGGTCAAGGTCAGATGAACCATGCTAGGCAGGCATGTACAGCTAACAATTCTTCAATACAACAAATATAGTTGACCTATTGCTTATAGTTTAAGAAAAACAGACGAAAACACAAAAACTTAACACTGAGCAATGAACCTTGAAAATGAGGTCAAGGTCAAATAAAACCTGCGTAACTGACATATAGATCATAAAATATTTCCATACACCAAATATAGTTGAACTATTGCATATAGTATAAGAAAAAAAGACCAAAACTCAAAAACTTAACTTTGACCACTGAACCATGAAAATGAGGTCAAGGTAAGATGACACCTGCCAGCTAGACATGTACACCTTACAATCATTCCATACACCAAATATAGCTGACCTATTGCATGCAGTATAAGAAAGAAAGACCAAAACTCAAAAACTTAACTTTGACCACTGAACCATGAAAATGAGGTCAAGGTCAGATGACACCTGCCAGCTAGACATGTACACCTTACAATCATTCCATACACCAAATATAGTAGACCTATTGCATACAGTATAAGAAAAACAGACCAAAACACAAAAACTTAACTATAACCACTGAACCATGAAAATGAGGTCAAGGTGAGATGACACCTGCCAGTTGGACATGTACACCTTACAGTCCTTCCATACACCGAATATACTAGACCTATTGCTTATAGTATCTGAGATATGGACTTGACCACGAAAACTTAACCTTGTTCACTGATCCATGAAATGAGGTCGAGGTCAAGTGAAAACTGTCTGACGGGCATGAGGACCTTGCAAGGTACGCACATACCAAATATAGTTATCCTATTACTTATAATAAGAGAGAATTTAACATTACAAAAAATCTGAACTTTTTTTTCAAGTAGTCACTGAACCATGAAAATGAGGTCAAGGACATTGGACATGTGACTGACGGAAACTTCGTAACATGAGGCATCCATATACAAAGTATGAAGCATCCAGGTCTTCCATCTTCTAAAATATAAAGCTTTTAAGAAGTTAGCTAACGCCGCCGCCGTAGCCGCCGCCGCCGTAGCCGCCGCCGCCGCCGGATCGCTATCCCTATGTCGAGCTTTCTGCGACAAAAGTCGCAGGCTCGACAAAAACCTTAAAAGCTTAATTCAATTTACTGACTCCATCTCTTGTACTTTTGAAGAATTTAACTTAATGTTTAAGTTAGAATAAGATATATTTCATTTTCTTGAATCTCTGGATACAATGGTAATGCATTTAAAAATGTAGTCTTCAATATTAGCCTCTACGTTGTAAATAGGGTAATCCCATGTAAAGCTATATTGTGTTGGGTGTTTTTTTTTATATGACACCAACACATGTATTCCTTAGGATATTTTCACGAGGAATTAAAATGAAGAACATTATCAAAGTTGACTAAAACATTAAAAAAGTTTAATTTCTTAGATGACCCTTACTGGACCCGTTGAAATGATTGAATCTTTTGGAGTCATATACGCTATATCAAATTTGTTGAAACATTTCTGATAGGGCTTCCTTCTATAGAATACAATAAAATGCTCCGCAGGGCGCAGCTTGATACGACCGCAGAGGTCGAACCCTGAACAGTTGGGGCAAGTATGGACACAACATTCAAGCTTGATACAGCTTTGCATTTGGATTGTGATTAAATATTTGACACAGCATACGTTTCTGACACAGAATGAATGTGGTCTAAGAACTTAAAAATTTTAAATTGGACATTCACCTATTATGGTCCAATATCCAAAATCTAAATACATGGTTAGATTCAGCATATCAAAGAATCCAATATATTCAATTTTTGTTGAAATCAAACAAAGTTTAATTTTGGACCCCGATTTGGACCAACTTGAAAACTGGACCCATAATCAAAAATCTAAATACATGTTTAGATTCAGCATATCAAAGAACCCTAAGAATTCAATTTTTGTTAAAATCAAACAAAGTTTAATTTTGGACCCTTTGGACCTCAATGTGGACTAATTTAAAAACAGGGCCCAAAATCCAAAAACTAAATACACGGTTAGATTCAGCATATTAAAGAACCCCAAGAATTCAAGAATAAAACCCCATTGAAATTGGTCAAGAAATAAGCAATTTATAAGAAGTATCTTCTTTTGCACAATACTGTGCAATTAAATATTTCTTGCTATTGCGCAATACTGTACAATTGACAATTTCTTGCTATTGCGCAATATTGTGCTATTGGATATTTCTTGCTATTGCGCAATACTGTGCAATTGAAGATTTCTTGCTATTGCGCAATACTGTGCAATTGAAGATTTCTTGCTATTGTGCAATACTGTGCAATTGAAAATTTCTTGCTATTGCACAATACTTATTATATAATAATTTACACATCCTGTTTGCTGTGTATCTCCTACCATATCATTATTATTTGCTTTTAAATATAAATCAGAAATAACCAACTTAAAATGGAAAATTTAAAAAGAAAAAAAAAAGGAAAAAAAGGAAAAAAAAAAGGAAAAAAAGAAAAAAAAGGAAAAAAAAAAAAATCCCCCCCCCCCAAATTTTTTGAACCCCCTTATGATTCATCACCCCTAAACTCAATCCCAGCCTCCCCTTTGTGGTATGGTACCTTGCAGTACAATTTAAGAGAGATCCATACACTTGAACACAAGTTATTGTCTGGAAACTAGAAAAATGCTTATTTTTGGCCCCTTTTTGGCCCCAAATTCCTAAACGTTTAGGGAAATTACCCCCAAACTCAAACCCAACTTTCCCTTTGTGATATGGAACCTTGTAGTACAATTTCAGAAAGATCCATACACTTACACACAAGTTATTGTCCTGAAACTAGTAATTTGCTTGTTTTTTGCCCCTTTTTGGCCCCTAATTCCTTAAATATTGAGGCAATTACCCCCATCATCAATCCCAGCCTTCCCTTTGTGGTATGGTACCTTGCAGTACAATTTCAGAGAGATCCGTACACTTGAACACAAGTTATTGTCTGGAAACTAGAAAAATGCTTATTTTTGGCCCCTTTTTGGCCCCCAATTCCTAAACGTTTCGGCAAATACCCCCAAACTCAATTCCAGCTTTCCCTTTGTGATATGGAACCTTGTAGTACAATTTCAGAAAGATCCATACATTTACACACAAGTTATTGTCATGAAACTAGAAAAATGCTTGTTTTTTGCCCCTTTTTTGGCCCCTAATTCCTAAAATTTTGAGGCAATTACCCCCAAAATCAATCCCAGCATTCCTTTTGTGATATGGAACCTTGTGGTACAATGTCAGAGAGATCCATACACTAACACACAAGTTATGTCTGGAAGTTACAAAAATGCTTATTTTTGGCCCCTTTTTGGCCCCTAATTCCTTTACTGTTGGTACCATAACCCCCAAAATCAATCCCAACCTTCCTTTTGTGGTATTGAACCTTGTGGTAAAATTTCATAGAGATCCATTCACTTAAACTAAAGTTAGAGTGCGAAAACCAATGCGTCTTCGGACGACGACGCCAACGTCATACCAATATACGACCACAAAAATTTTTTTGCGGTCGTATAAAAAAGGTAATAATAAACTGTTGACACAGAGATATGTCTCGCCTGAACCATGGCCTAGGGGGCAGAGCCTCGAAATAGTTGACAAACTGAGATGTACAGAGAGCAATGTAACTTTATAGAAAATATTGTCTATTGTAAGTAGTTCCTATCAAACTAACTTAATCAGAAAACTTAACATTGAAAATTGTTAATTGATTGAAAGTTACTGGACCATGGCCTAGAGGGCAGGGCCTTGAAATTGTCGTCAAACTGATATGTACTGGTAGTAATGCAACTTTATAGAAAATATAACTGATCTATCGCAAGCAGTTCATGTCAAACTAATTTAAGCAGAAAACTTATCATTGAAAATTGCTAATTAATTGAAAGTCACTGAACCATGGCCTAGGGGGCAGGGCCTCAAAATAGTTGTCAAACTGATATGTACTGTCACAGTACTGATAGTAATGCAACTTCACTCAAAATACCATTGATCTATCACCAGTAGTTCCTATATATCTAACCTAAGCAGAAAACCTAACATTGAAAATGGCTAATTAATTCAAAGTCATTGGACCATGGCCTAATGGGCAAGGCCTCAAAAATTAGTTAAATTAATCTCTGTTTTAGTGTTGTAACATCTTTTTCTGCAAAAGTTGGCAAAACCCCCAAAATCAATACTTATTTTTAGTGACAAGGAACATTATAAGCTAAATCTGCATAATATAAAAATAAGTATGACAATGAGACAACTTGTCACCAGAGTCCAACTGACGTGGATGTAAGCAACTATAGGTCAACCTACAATGTATAAGATTAAGCTATACCGTATAAAAAGCTTAAAAAGGCCCTAACATGAAAAAAAGTAAAACAATTCAAACAAGAAAACCAATGGCCCGATTTATGATAAAACAGCAAACGAAAAACAAATACGACAGAGAGTAACCAAAGGCAACCACTGAATTACAGGCTCCTGTCTTGGGACAAGAAAATGCAGTATGTGACAGGATAAAACATATTTGTGACCTCTAAACCCTAGCCTCCTTATTTAGGAGAGTGGTGCATCGACACAAAGTTAGGAACAGACTGTAATAAAATGCTTCGCTGGGGCGCAGCTTGATACGACCGCAGAGGTCGAACCCTGAACAGTTGGGGCAAGTATGGACACAAAATTCAAGCTTGATACAGCTATGACTTTGGATTGTCATTAAATATTTGACACAGCATAGGTTTCTGACACAGGATGAATGTGGTGTAAGAACTGGAAAAAATTTAATTTACCTATTATGGTGGAATCTCCATAAACTAAATTGTTTGTTAATTTCAATATATCAAAGAATATGTAGAATTCAATGTTTGATGTAATGTAATAAAGTTGAAATTTGGACCGTTTTTGTTCAATGTGGACCAATTTGGTAACATGTATAAATAATCAAAAATCTAAATACATGGGAGCCCATTTAAATACATCATAAAGGTATTAAAATAGAAAGTGACATCATAGTCATGGCTAAAAATAAACAAAAATCCTTAATCAGCAACATTTAAAGTAATATCTAAAAATAAAATTCCTTTGTAACCATTAAAGCCCATTTAAATACATCATAAAGATATTAAAATAGAAAATGACATCATAGTCATGGCTAAACATAGCAAAAAACCCTTAATCAGCATCATTTAACAGTAATATCTAAAAATGGAAATTACATCATAAAGGTATTAAAATAGAAAATGACATCATAGTCATGGCTAAAAATAAACAAAATCCTTAATCAGCATCAGGACATTTTATAGTAATATCTAAAAATAAAATTCCTTTGTAACCATAAAAGCCCATTTAAATACATCATAACAGATATTAAAATAGAAAATGACATCATAGTCATGGCTAAACATAGCAAAAACCTTAATCAGCATCATTTAACAGTAATATCTAAAAATAAAAATTTCTTTGCAACCATAAAAGTAAAATAGAAAATGACATCATAATCATAGCTAAAAATAAACAAAAATTTTTTTTATTGGCAAATTTTAAATGGAGTTTATTATACTAAAACAATAAATTTGCAACCATAAACATGATAAAACCCCATTTAAACACATCATAAAAGTATTAAAAAATTCAACTACATCATAAGGCTATAAAAATAGAAAATGACTTCATAGTCAAGGCTAAAGGTAAACAAAAAACCTTCATCAGCAAAATTTTATATTGGCAAATTTCCAATGAAGTTTATTACACTAAAATTGTTGGCAAATTTCCAATGCATTTATTAACAATAAAGTTATTGGCAAATTTCCAATTTACATAATCTAAAAGCAGTGTAGATGAGATATTTAAATGAGTTTGAATTACCAACCTTACACTGCTTTTAAATAATGTTCTTTACTCAATTATTTGTCTATTAAAATGGAAACCCTTGTTTTTTAACCTTTTTCCCCTTATTCCTTAAACATTAGAGCACACTAAAAAAATCCTTATTTTCGACCAATATTTGGCCCCTTATTCATAAATGTTTGAGCAATTAACCCCAAAACTCAATTCCTACTTTCTCTTCGTGATAAAAAATAACTAACTTAAAATGTAAATTTTAAACAAAAAAAAAAGGAAAAAAAAAAATTACCCCTTTTTTGACCCCCGCCCCCCTTATGATTCATCACCCCCACCCCCCTTTCCCCCCAAACCAAGCTCAATAACAGCCTTGCCTTTGTGGTATGGTACCTTGTAATACAATTTTAGAGAGATCCATACACTTGAACACAAGTTATTGTCTAGAAACTAAAAAATGCTTATTTTAAACCCCTTTTTAGGCCCCTTATTACTAAACGTTTTGGGCAATTACCACAACACTCAATTCCAGCTTTCCCTTTGTGAAATGGAACCTTGTAGTAAAATTTCAGAAAGATCCATACACTTACACACAAGTTATTGTCATGAAACTAGAAAAATGCTTGTTTTTTGCCCCCTTTTGGCCCCTTATTCCTAAAATTTTGAGGCAATTAACCCCAAAATCAATCCCAGCATTGACCCTTTGTGATATGGAATCTTGTGGTACAATGTCAAAGAGATCCATATGCTAACACACAAGTTATGTCTGGAAGTTACAAAAATGCTTATTTTCGGCCCCTTTTTGGCCCCTAATTCCTTAACTGTTGGTACCATAACCCCCAAAATCAATCCCCACCTTCCTATTGTGGTATTGAACCTTATGGTAAAATTTCATAGAGATCCATTCACTTAAACTAAAGTTAGAGTGCGAAAACCATTGTGTAAAACGACGACGCCAACATCATACCAATATACGACCTCAAAATTTTTTTGCGGTCGTATAAAAATCAGTTGGAAATGGTTTGACTTTAATGTCCTCAATTTCAAGTACTTCCTCTAATGAGGCAAACAAAAATAAATTAACAATAACTATATACCTCAACAACAGATACAATGGCTTTAGGTTTTAACGTTGTACAATTTCCAAAAGTCCTACTGTTAAAAAAGCGGCATTCTGGTTGAGATTTAACAGTAACTCCTTTTAAATTATTCCATGAGGTTCGGGTTTGTTTATGGAGGCACAATCTAAATTAAAAAGAAATCAAACAATTATTTAACATTACTGAAAATGCCCCTCCCCAAAAAATACAAACAAACAAACAAAAAAATATAAACACTGCTTCATACCTCCCTTCAAAAAAAAACCCGAAAACCACCAATTAAAACAATCAGAGAAGAAAAGTTATTGCCTAAATATGGTTATATATTCTTGAATTATTTACGAGCAAATTACTGAAAATGTTTTCCTGGTTAATTCAGAATATGGATTACATGTAAGTATACACACAAAGAAAGTAACATATTGGGCAATACTCATAAAACCCAGGGTTTTGCCAACCTTGATTTTATCGTAATTACATATATTTGGTTAATTGGTTACTTCAAAAATGTGCAAATTACATAATGTGATTGCTTTTATAATTACACTACTTTAATGTTGTGTATTTGTGTTATGTGTCAGAATAAAATCATGTAGATTAAAGCAGGAACATATATATTGATATACTGTTCCCAGATTAAAGCTGGTATCGATTCTGAAAACTCAAAGTAATTTTTAGGATTTTCAATTACATTGACCATGTTGTGGCATCAGACAAACAAATATATCAGATTAGTAATTTGAAGAAAAAAATTGTACTTACGAAGTTGTAAGGCAGCATGCTTGTCCAAGACTGATAATCAGAGATGCAAACATTCCTTCAGAGACCTGGAACCTGGTCTGTTTTGCCTCCATACATTGGTCAAAAAATGAGTCGAATGTGTTGATGAATATCTCTCCTTTAGAAATATAAACTGGCTGGGATAAGAAGCTAATTGGTCTAAAACAAAAATTAGAAATAAAATGCAAACTGTTCACAGAGCCAAATAAAGCGTCATATCAAAAACTATTCTTATCTGTCAGGCAATACATGTTTATCTGTAGTTTTAATGGGGAAATATATATAATCAGACCTTTAAGTAATCTTAAAGTAAATGGAGAATGTGTCTATGGGCCACAGATGCCCCCGCTTGTAAATATGCATGAGTCAACTTCCACATACAGATGCAGGATTCACGTAGTTAGGACCGTTTAGTGATTATAAGCATTGTGTATAAGTTTCATAACATTTGGTTGAGGCAAACTAAAGTTAGAGAACGGAAACGATAGGTTCAGCAATTTTTCCATTTATAAAGGGGCTTAACTCAAGAACGGTAAAAGTGACGCCACCCAATTTCAAATTTGATCTGTGTTTTGTAGTAATAAGCATTGTGTATAAGTTTTATAACATTTGGTTGAGGCAAACTAAAGTTAGAGAACGGAAACCAATTTTGGGTACAGACGGATGGACAAGGCTAACACTTAATGCCCCCTCCGCTATGGCGGGGGCAAAAAAAAACATATTCTGAATTTCTTTCAAATAAAATGTGAATGACAGAACTGATAAATCTCTGTGTTTAAAGTTTTGAAATTTAATTTTTACATATGAACACTAACTGTAAATACATGCATGTACATGCAGTAAGAATGGAGTAATCAAATTAAATTTCCTCATTGCAAAATTGTGTCTCAATAATGCTCATTCACATTGTACATTAATATTGAGGTATTTTATTTGTGTGAGTCTAAGTTAAAGTAAAATTCTTAATTCACTGTAACTTGAAGAAACACAGGATCTCTGGAATTAACCTAACAAATTAACCCACTCGGAGATGTGGCATAGATGCCAATGAGACAATTATCCACCAGAGACAAAAAAATAAGCATTTAAACAGCCATAGGTCATTGTACATGAAATGAGTCAATTACAGTTCTAGAGTTATGCCACTTTATTACTTGGAAAATGGCTTATTTTTTTCGTTTCCCCACTCTAACTTCAGTTTGCCTCATCCAAATTTAATGAAACTCATACGCTATGCCCCTTTATAACTTGGAAAATTGCAAACGTTTCGTTTCCGCACTTTAATTTGTATGTTCATTTATAAGAGTTATTTTAGACTATTAGGATAATAAATGTATGATGAAGAAGATGAAAGATAATTTTCGCAGTGTATGAATTTGCAATGTCCTGCATTATCTTACTTTCATAGATGACTATATCAATGTATATGGTATGGGTTTGCTCATTGTTGCAATTTTCCAAGTTATAAAGGAGAATAACTCTAGAATAGTAAGTGACTCACTACCCATATTTGAACTCTGTCTGCGAGTTTTGGTTCTCGGCATAGTGTATGAGTTTCATTAAACTTGGATGAGACAAACTTAAGTTAGAGCGCAGAATCAAATAAAATTGCAATTTTCCCGGTTAAAAGGGTATAATTCTAGAACGGTAAGTAACTCACTGCCCAAATTCAATCTCTGTCTGCTAGTTATGGTTTTTAGCATTATGTATAAGTTTCATAAAATTTGGATGAGGCAAACTTAAGTTAGTGTGGAAACGAAAGATTTGCAATTTTCCAAGTTATAAAGGGACATAACTCTAGAATGGTAAGTGACTCACTGCCCTAATTCGAACTCAGTCTGCGAGTTTTGGTTGTTAGCATAGTGTATGAGTTTCATTAAATTTCGATGATGCAAACTGAAGTTAAGAGTGCAGAAATGAAAAAAAAGTAGCAATTTTCCAGGTAATAAAGGGGCACAACTCTAGAACAGTAATTGGTTCATTTCCCAAATTCGATCTCTGTCTGCAAATTTTGGTTCTTAACATTGTGTATGAGTTTCAATAAATTTGCATGAGGCAAACTGAAGTTAGAGGGCGGAAATGAAAATGGGACGGACGGACGGTCAAGGGTAACACTTAATGCCCCCGTTGCCTACGGCGGAGGCATAAAAAAGGTATATTTTAAAATACTATGCTTTTCAAAAGGGTGTATTTCATATGCAAGTAATACATTTACATAAGATAGTATGACATGATCTCGCACTGAAAAAACTAGTGTGCATGTGCCTGTCCAAAGAAAAGAACATTGTCAGTGGTTGTTGGCAGATTGTTGATAGTCTGTTAAATGTATTCCCCTCAGGAATGATTTAAAGCGTGACATATTGTATAGACAGTGCTAATTGTCTTATGATGTAGAATGTACAATGACCTCGAGATGTCTTGTTTTTTTAGTGTCACTGGCTTGTTGTACCATTAACTTATAGCTCACATCTTTTATACACATTCAAACATATTCTATTTCATGTTTTATTTTACATTGGAACACACATTCAAAGACATCATAACTCCCCCTTTTTTTAGTTAAAATTTTCTGATTTATTTTCTCTTACACACATGCATGACAGTCTTCCAGAGATAGACAAACTTCTGTGTTTTTCAAGCACTTCTTCTAGCCCTTCCGATGTACATGTGTTAAAAATTATAACCACGGAAAATGTGACAGTATCTTTGAGGGGTCCGTATGTAGCCTGTTGAAAGGCAAAAATTTCTGACCCTATCTTATACATGTATATCCTCATTTTCCAAGAGCAGTCCGTCCAAATTTCCCCGACCTCCATCAAGGACGGCCTCTATTACAGGATCTACCTAATTGTATTAATTGTTAATTTGTTCTCTTCCTGAACATGCATGAAATGTGTGCCACTGGAGGTTAAGCAACCAACATTCAATCAATCAATCAAAAGTAAAAAATGAAACTGAATGTAGCGATCATGAATAAACCTGATTACTTTTATTTCTATACATGAAAGTCCTAAAGGTTATGCAGGAGTGCGAATCTTTGGGATCAATGTATATTTCAAAATGAGAAATCCTCAGCTAGGTTATGTATAAATAAGAAGATGTGGTATGAGTGCCAATGAGACAACTATCCATCCAAGTCACAATGTGTAAAAAGTAAAACCACTGAAAAACAGGCTTCTGACTTAGGACAGGTGCATAAAAATGCAGCGGGTTTAAACGTTTTAACAGGCACCAATATATGTATCTTGATTACAGAATAAATTATACATTTTGTAACAATGTATACATTATTCGACAGAACAGGCAAAAGACTCAGAAAGCAATACATTAAATCATCAAGTCCAATTAGATTGAAAGAATTGATGAAAGATTTCATACATTGCATTCTGAGTCTATGAAATTTGCTGGTGCAGATAAAAGATTTAAAAAATTTCCTTCTTCTTGCCTTGTGGAAGGGGCAACATGCTTAAATTACTGTTATGGTGAGATGGTATGGATAAGAACAAAGACACATCAAATATGGGAAAATAAGTTGAAATATTAAAGAAATTTCCGAATAAATCTTAAAACTTTTATCAACACGTGTGTGTGTGTGTATGCACAAAATATCTTCAGCAGCACCAGGTGGATGCACTTACCAGATCATTGATGTTGGGATCATGGAAGAAAACGGCTGTATCAATTATCATGTCAGTAATAAATTTTCTAGTTTTCAGATCTTGACACGCGAATTAGATAGTTTAAACTTCAAAGAAAGATCTTATTTTATAAAATTCGACTCAATATATATATATCATGTATATGTTACAGGCATTTTCTAAATTTAGGCATTTTGTAAAATGCCTTCAAACTTTAGGCATTTTCTAAAATGCCTGCAAGATTCAGGCATTTTACATAATGACTTATTTTTCTAGGCATTTTACAAAACGCCTGGGAAACTGAAAGGAATTTTCTCTAATTCATACCCGATTTATCCTTTTCCTGACCTGTTGATTATTTTTATTTAATCAACGTGTGGTTCGTTTGATCTCAATTGTTCATTGGTCAAAATTTGATTATGAGGTCAAATTTTCTTGCTTTCCTCTGAAATTCCCATTGTGACATCATAAAAAAAGGCGACCATGTCTGATGACGTCAGATAGAAAGAATTCATCTTTTTGCAGATCATTCGAAAATAAGGATTAAATGTGTCTGCATATCGTCTAAAAATCATTAAAGAAACAAATTCCACCACCAAATCTCGTGCAATACGATATTTATCCACTCTCGACAGTTAAATTTTAAATATTTAAAATGCTCGACGAGTCTCACGTTTTAAATTTAAAAATTTAACTGTCTTGAGTGGATAAATATTGTATCACACTTGATGCAGTGGTAGAATCTATATTTACAAAATGCCTGAAATTATTTTATAGAATGAAATGTTAAAAAAAGTTGACAATTGAAAGCTTTGAACAACAGAGCATTTTCATTTATGATAATTACTGAATGTTAAAGCTTGCAATTTAAGAGTTTTAATAATCAAAAATAAGTTTTACTGAATTATTCCAAATTCACACAAACACAGAACTCGACAATTATTTGTTATTTCTTAAAATGTTTGGATGATAGAACTGTTTTTTCAAATACATTGTTTGGCTTAAAATCTGGTTTTAGCACTTCGACCACATTTGGAGAGACCTGGATCATGACACATAGCTCTTTCATCACCTTTTCTGATAAAACACTAAGCGTTCGACAACATTGGGTTACGCAACAAGCACACACGTCACACATGAATATCTTCTTTAATCTTTTTCATATGGAATTCCCAAAAGATTCAAAGTACATTATCATGCTTAGTTTGACTTGTATCTTTTGGCTTATAGCTTTTAACGGACCGAAGCAGATCTGCCCATGACGGGTTGATGCAGCTATAACAGGAGATGCTTACCCATTCAATGCACCGTTATTTGTCTCTTCTTGGTCGATTTTCAAGATTTTAACCACAGTTCACTACTGTCATGACTGTCTCATTAATTCATCAGATTGCAAAGACCCGTGAATTTCCTTGAGGCAGTGAAGATGAAGATACTCATATCTTTGCCTCACAACCAAACACGGCCTTGTATGGCTAAACCCATGCTATAGAGGGGAATTTGTTTGAATGTGGATGTATAAATTCTCCTTTTTCTGAATCGGGACATTCATGACATTAAATATATTGCCGCATTTTAGTAAACAGGAACACTCTCTGCACGTTAAGAACTCTTTGAATGTTCTGCAGGTGGAATTTTCTGTCCCTATCCAAAATACCTTCATTTCAAGCGGCAGTCGAAATGCCTGTCCTTTATCCAGGGTAATCCACTGCAGAAATAACCCATATGAATTATAACTAAATTGTTCTCGTCTTAAAAATGCATGCAAATTTGCTACTGAAAGCAAACAAACCAATCAGTCAATTAAAAACAAACTTCTTTTTCTCTGCTTCATATGTTTCACTTCACTGTTTTGAATCTGGATTTTTAAAAAATTTGTTTGTAAATTTTTACAAAATGACTAGTAAAATTGAGAATGGAAATGGGGAATATGTCAAATAGACAACAACCCGACCAAAGAGCAGACAACAGCCGAAGGCCACCTATGGGTCTCCAACGCAGCGAGAAAATCCCGCACCCGGAGGCGGTCCCCAGCCGGCCCCCAAACAAAATTGTTCACCAGACAGCGAAAATGGACGCCACACTAGGTATTTTTAGTCATTTTATATAATGCCTGTCAAGGTTAGACATTTTATAAAATGCCTAAATTTATAAAATGCCTGTAACATATATAACTAACTTGTAGAAAAGATTATAAAAGCAAAGCCAGACACATAATACATGTAGGACAAATAGCTACTGCCTCATAATAAAGTGGAGTCCATGTCCTAAGTGCTAGCAAAGATTTGTATGGTATACTATAAAAATCCTTGGTGCTAGGAAACTACTCACTCAAGTTTGTTTCTCAGTACTGAAAGCTTCTTTTTAACCATAGAAGTCTTCAGCCATAATTCTTCATAATCTGAATCAAACTCTAGAAAACGTTGAAGATCTTGCACATATTTCTTCTGATCTTTTGTAAACTCTAGTAATGTAGAAGTGTTTATTTTGTTAAAAACGTCTTTATGGCTATCTAAATAATCAGTGGCATAATAAATATGCAATTGTTTTTCAACCTGGTGTAAATTCCAATCCGACACACGTTCATGGAGACCTTGGCAATTTTTAGCTGCTTTCGGAGTAAGTTGGTTTAAAGACAAAGAATGTGAAACCACTGGAAATTCTTTGTCTTCTTCAGAGGAACTGGTAAATTTGTATGCCATGATCGTGTATTAAACTTTGATTTTGGCGTTTTTTTTTTCAAAGATGATGGCAATAATAAGGTAAGGGAGAGAAACTGATATTATTCCTACATAAAGTGTCTTACGTTTTGACATAATTTCCTCCGTATAGTGGGACACTCATATTATGAGTGTGTAATAATACACGTTTTTGTTATTATTATGAGAGACATATCTCTTTTATCATCTTTTTCTCTTTTTTTTTTCTTTTTTTTTAAATTAATTTTATCATACACCATATTAGTAATTTATCATTAAGAAATACAGAAATTCCACAAATAACTAACAATTATGGTAAATCGGTAATTGAGACCGACCGTGCGAGACCCTCATGGGTAGTCAAGGTCGTTAATCACCCCTTTGAAGAAAAGGTAATTGAGATATGTACAGAATTTAAGAATTCTAAATGGGAGAACATTAGGAGATTCTAAAGGTAAAATAACTTTATACAACCATATAGGTGTGTTCGAATCCGGGTCCGTTCGCCCCAAATCACGTTCGCTCCCATTCACATTCGCATCCCTGTGTCCGTTCACACCCTTTTTATTGGTTTTGTGTTGCATAATTGTTTAATCATGTTTAAGTTAGTGTATTGCTTGCTATAAATAAGTTTTTTTTTTATTGTTTCAAAATAAAGTGACATTCTTAAAACGTAAACAGGTTTCCTACTTCATGCACTTTAATCGTACACAATCATTCAAATCATGAAATATTTCATTTAAAAACAGAACTAAAATATTTTTAAAAAACCTGAAACATCACTTCACATTGTACACCATTCACACACCAATACTTTCTAATATGCAATTAATGTATTAAATTCAAATAACAGTCACAATTGTTATCAAAGTTCAAAGTCTACTGTGCCGGAAAATCGTCAATTGGTTTGTCTGATGGTCCATACAGTCTTCATCAAATTCCCCTCAAAAATATTTCATTTTGAAATTCCCGAATTTCATTAAATAAAATATGAATATTTTGATTTAAACATCTAAAAAACATCTAATAATTCAATCGGTATTTGAATAAAAATATGGAGCGAACGGACCTAGGGGGGGGGGGGGGGGGGGGGGGGACGTGTGGGGTGCGAACGTGTAGGGTGCGAACGTGTATTGGGAGCGAACGAACCCGATACCGGTGTGTTCATTGTTGACTATTGCATTTGCAGTGCATCATTTCGATCCAATATTCTAATCTAATCTAACTTATCTTTAAACCCCCTTTGTAGAGGAACCATATTTTCATATGTAGAACAGTTGCTCTCTTTATTAATGATATCCCTGATGCTTTCTCTTGTTGTGCTAACCATGTCAGTGTTAATAACCAAAGGGCTAATTGTTTAATGAATGCTGATGACATTGTAATTCTCTCAGTTTCATCAGAGGGATTGCAAGAGAGATTAACTATGCTTAATAATTACTGTTCTAAATGGTGTTTAAATGTAAATGAGAACAAGACAAAAGTAATGATTTTTAATAAAGCAGGGTGACATTTTAATCTCCCTTTTTACCTAGGTGAGAAAGCTATTGGTTGTAATATAACTATAAATATTTGGGCATCACATTTATACCCAGTGGGAAATTTTTTCAATGTAATGATGAACTGTCTATGAGAGCATGTTTTAAATTACAACAATGTATGTCATCTTCAAACCCTAGTGTTTCAACTTTACTTCATTTATATGACCATACTGTAAAGCCAATTTTAACCTATGGATGTGAAGTCTGGAGTATGTTTTCAGTTAACTCATCTGCATGTAAGAAAAATTATCAATATATTTTAGAAAAAGAGTTTTTTCCAACGATACATCTGAAAAATCACATATCAAATTTATGAAATGTGTACTAGGTGTAAACAAAAAATCCAGTAATCTTGCTGTGACTTCTGAACTAGGATATACCCAATGTATTTTTATATCATATTAGCAATGTTAAAATATTATCATCGACTAGATAATTCTAAGAACATGTTATTATATGATGCATATATATTTAGTAAAGAACTTCACAATAATAAAGTGAATACATGGTTCTCAAGCATAGATCGTATTTTACAAAAGCTGGGCATACAAACATGTAACTTAAAAAACCAGTATCTACTCTTTCACAAAATTTATCAAAGATAAGCTATATAAAAACTATCTCCATTTCTGGAAGGAAAATAGAAATAAAGTATTACAATCAGATCAAGGTAAACTGAATACTTATTTTTCCTTTAAAACTCTGTTTTGTTTTTGAAAAATATTTGGATCTAAAAGATTTTAGATTAAGGCAATCAATCTGTAAGATTAGAATAAGTGCTCATCCATTAAGGATTGAGACTGTAGATATGCAAAAAATTATGTGAACAGAACGCTTAAAAAATGGTTATACTGTACATTAAATAAAGTTGAGGATGAGATACACTTTGTGACTGAATGCCCACTGTATGTTGATATTAGAAATGAGGTTTTTACTGAAATTTCTTTAACCTGCAATAATTTTCAATTTTTAGACAATCTTTCGAAGTTTTCATGGCTATTTACACAAGAAAATTTAGATGTATATAAATGTTTGGGAAAGTATTTATCTAAAAATTTGGAGATAAGAGAAGTTCAAAGATAATAAATGCAAATTAGCCACAAATATACTTAATTTGAGTGGTATATTTTATAGATGTTATTTGTATTATCTGGTTCTGTCCTGAACTTATATAACAGTTATTGTAAAACGTGTTGTTTTATTTTATGTTCCTCAATTTATGTCTAATCTTATGTATTTGTATGTAATGTGATAAAAGCTCTTAATAGAGATTTCCAATAAAATGACATACGTACGTAACTCGACGTACGGACCTAATGGGACTGCAAACCATTGAATTTGATTAATACGTCGCCCAAGTTTAAACAAAGTATTCCAAGACTTTTAATATCACACCCTGGAATTTTCGTCCATATAAAATAATTTTAGCATGACGAAAAATGATAGAAATCTTGCATTTTCATTTATCACGTTGTTCTCCAAATTCCCGCCTTTATTTTCACTGACATAAGATCACATATAAACACACGTATCCCATACATATCATACGATCGATTTGGAGTTATCTTTCATGGTTTTGATTATGACAATTATTTTTCAATATACTTTGCAGATGAACGCCCCATTAAGCTTATTTTTTTGTTATCCGATGTTTTTCTTTCTTTCTTTTCTTTATCTATCTTTTTATTATATTAGTTGCGGGGGAAAACATTTAGAAGGATATTTTTCTAACAATTTCAGAAATATCGAAACCAGTGTTTGTCAGAATATGTCTCTTTATAAAAGTTGAAAATTGAGAAAAAAAATTATATATTGGCATTGACGTCTTCTAACCAAGTTGAGACTATGACTGATAAAATTCAAATCAATTGCCTCACCAGAAATAAAATTCAAGTTACGCTACTGTCAATTAATTGATAGTTGGTTGCTAAACGTCCAGTGGCAAATATTTCATACATATTAAACTTGCAAAGAGCGTGGCATTTTCTCTACAAGAAGCATCGAATTGAACGTCCCCACGTGCAGAGTGCAACTCTGACCGGACGTGATTGCGTACTTGTACATCCCGCACAGCCAAACGGACGACCCACTTTGGCAATGGTTTAACTGCCGGTCGGAACAAGACCAATAGTGACCATATTTCTATTCCCCGGTCACCCTGGAGGGGTTTCTGTCGAGGCGAGCACGCTACCACAAGACCAAAGCGACAGTAATAAATATGGGAGATAATATACATGTACATGTCTTAATCAAAACATTTGCAACAAGAATATGTGGCTATAAGACACCGTGCCCCTTCACATGATCATATTTCCATGTGTAGTGCACCACTAAATCCGGGTCAAACTCTAATTTGGTATATACTTTTAAACGATTTATATTTTGAGCGGAACGGAAGAACGGATGGATGCATATCCCCTTGCTACCATAAGTTGGTCATAAAACTAAAATCCTACTTAACAAAACTTCAATCAAATATTCTGTACATGTCCGTTTTTCATACGTATTTGCATAAGTTAAACGCCAAACATTTTAGAAAAACAATTTAAGAGCAATGAAGTTAAATTACGCATACCGTGGAGTTTGTACGGACTCTTCCTAGAATCAATGCAGCATTATAATTAAAGACAAGAAGTAAAAACATTAACTGATTCAGTAAAGTGTAATCATATTTTCCTTGAAGATGCGTCTTCATAAATTTCATTTGGTAATTTCTACGGAATGGTGACAAAGTACTACCAGATAGATGAATCAGTGATCTGAATTTCTACCTCTGACAAAAGTATCTTGAAGTAAATTAAAGAAGTATGCTAAAAAAAAAAGAAGAAACAAGTCGTGTACACCTTTTACATGCCGGCGTGTTTGAAACTCTTGTTTTAATCTTATAACTTATAAATCAAAAATGAGAATATCATCTTGCTTCAGATTCCATTATTTTATTTTTTTCAAACTTAATTTTGAATTAGTAGCTTTAAGAATTCACCGTTTGAGAGACAAATATATGGGTCAAGTGAAATGACAAAATAATGATCGGTGCATTTGATTACCGGTACCTGAATTAATTATTCCCTTGAAAGGTTTTTGTCAATAAAATCATCCCAAATTTAATAACAAAATATGTAAAGAATTAAAATAGCAGATTTTGCTAATTTTTAAATAGCATCTGTTCCAACAAAGTATGTGTATTCAACGAGCCAAAACATTCAAGCAGTCTATGCTCCCTTCCGTCATCCTTCAATGCAATAGGCCGAGATATGGTCAGATAGGTTGGGTATGTCGAGTAATGTCATTTTATTGGAAATCTCTATTAGGGCCCTTTAATTGGAAAATAAAATATTCTATTTTATACAGTGTTGTTACTCCTTCCACCATTGGACATCTAACCATATTTACATGCTCAGCTCGGGTGCTATCTATATACAGTGCTGTTACGCCCTTCACCAATCGATATATGATGTGCGCTTATTTACAATTAACAATTTTACAGTTGGACAGTACTACCCTACAATTTCTGATCATTGTCCAATTTGAGTTCAGATTTTATCTCAGTCAGTACAAAAGGCCGTATTCA